TTTTTTTTTTTTTTTTTTTTTTTTTTTTTTTTTTTTGGGGGTGTTTTTTTGAAAAAATAAAAATAAAATGAAAGAAAACAAGGGAGAAAGAAAATAGATAAAAAATATTTATAGATGGATTATATGAAAAACATCAGTGCGATTGTTTCAAAATAAAGTGGGGTATTTAAAAAAGAGGAAAAGTGATTTGGAAAAAATAAATAAAAATAAGTGATTTTTGAAATCAAATGGAGGAGAGAGAGGGACAAACCCATGTGATAAAGTGGAGAGAGAGTCGGTGAGTGGGGTGCAAAAGGTGAAGGAGAAATGATGGATTGAAAATGGTTTGGGTCAAAAGTGGACACTGTTAGTGGGGAACATGAGTGCATTGATTATTTGATATAATAATAATAATAATAAAAATAAAAAGTTAGAGAGGTGGTAGTGGTGTAGTGGGTTAGGTTTAGTGGAGTAGGTTTAAGTGGGTGAAGTAGGTGATAAATTTTAACACTCCTCATCAGATTCACTTTGAGGCTGTCATGAGAATCTTGAGGTATTTGAAGTCTGCTCCTGGTAAGGTTCTGTATTTTTCAAAGTATGATCATCTTCGTGTAGAAGCCTATACAGATGCTGACTGGGCTGGGTCAGTAACTGATAGGAGATCAACTTCAGGGTATTGCACATTTGTTGGCGGCAACCTAGTTACTTGGAGGAGTAAGAAACAGAATGTGGTTGCCAGGTCCAGCGCAGAAGCTGAGTTTAGAGCTATGGCACAAGGTGTGTGTGAACTTTTATGGATCAAATTATTGTTGAGTGATCTAGGTATTGCTCAGACGGACTCCATGCGATTATATTGTGATAATAAGGCCGCCATCAACATTGCTCATAATCCAGTTCAACATGACAGGACAAAACATGTTGAGATTGATCGCCACTTCATTAAGGAGAAACTCACTAGTGGTATCATTTGTACTCCCTTTGTCCAGTCTGGTGAACAACTTGCTGACATTCTCACCAAGGGGATTGGCACTAAACCATTTCATGACATATTAGTCAAGCTTGGCATGAGAGATATCTTCGCACCAGCTTGAGGGGGAGTGTTAGCATATTATATTAAGTGATATTATATTAGCCGAAAGGTAGCCGAAAGATACACTAGGGTCTGTCTGTAATCATTTTATGCACTCAGGGATAGCTCTCAGGGGGATCATCTTGTAATTGCATTTCTTGTAAACCCTAATCTTAATCTATAAATAGGGGGTGATATTCTATCATTCCCCAAGCTGGTTACCCAAGCTTCAGTTACACCGTCTTGGGTAGAACTCAACATCAAAAGCTAGTTGTTAAGGTGAGGGTACCCTCATGGTTATATACTTCACATTACTTCCCTACTCAGGGCAATGTGGGACTTACGGCGCTTCACATTGATATGCTTTTTTTTTTCTCTCTTTTTTTTTTTTTTGTCCCTTTTCTTTTCTTTCTTGGTTCTATGAATCCTTGTTTCTGCTAGAAACTAAGTAGCTTATAATGAAAATATTTGTGAAATGCGTTCATGTGTTTATGTTGATTTTGTGTATGTCCACATGATGCAAGCTTTAATTTTTGTTTTTTCGTTTGAACTTTTGAAAGTGCTTTTCTTCTATCTTGGAACTTACATAGAAAAGATTAAGCTTTGGCTTTAAGGAATGTAGAGCCAACTGTGGGTTGTAATGTTCTGTTTAGGTGAGATATATTTGTGTAAATCATAATTTAAGCTTCTTACAGGACACATTGAACTGTTGCCTATGTCTTCATGTGTATAGGATGCAGAAAAGTACAAGCTAGGCCACCCCAGCCACTTCTACTACTTAAATCAAAGTATGACTTATGAGTTGGATGGAGTGAACAGTGCAGAGGAGTATATGAAGACAAGGAGGGCGATGGACATTGTTGGCATTAGTCAGGAAGAACAGGTTTTTAAAATATTTCTTAGCATGGGCACATTGCAATCTTGCCCTTTTCAGTTCTACCCTTGTGTTTAGGATGTTCGCTTTGTTGTCTTTTACATCTGTTCTCATTATGTCAGGAAGCCATATTCCGGACCTTGGCTGCCATTCTACATGTGGGAAACATTGAATTTTCTCCTGGAAAAGAGCATGACTCATCAGTTGTAAAGGACCAGAAATCTAGTTTTCATGTGCAGATGGCTGCCAATCTTTTTATGTAGGTGATACCATGTGAGAGCTTGAAAATGATTTCTTTATCAACTTGACTAATCTAAATTATAAACTTTGAAAGTCCGTTGATTTCTTTTTCAGTTCTGAAATTAACACTCTGACGTCTTTGCAACTTTCACGCCTTTTCTTTTGTAATTTTTCTAGGGATTGTTTGATTTAATCGATTTAGATTTTACTCTTCGTCACAGAACTAGTGGGCATGATACAACTTTGTATAGAAAACGTGACTCTCTAAGTCACTATTGCTATTATTGTGCATGTCTTGAGAAAAGTGCTAAAATCAATTCCTTACTCTGTGATGGTGTGTAAGAAAATTGTCCCAGACATGCTTGATAATGCACCGCAGTGGTGGTGCTGGTTGATTCTTTTTGAAGGCACACTAAGGGCTTGTTTGAGATCCACACTCAAAACTAATCCCCCGGGGGGGGGGGGCGGTGTTTCTTGGCCAAAAAGCCCAATTTATTAACAGCTCTAATCTCATTTAAGGCAAGGGTTTTATCTATATACATTTGAAAACAGTAAAAGTTTTACATAAAGCATCTAAGAATTGCCCCAATCAAGTTAGATTCCAACATAACGGGTATGTCCTTATCAAGTAAGAACCTGGATATTAGCTGTTTTAAGTACTTAACTTCGAGTGAAAATATTTAAATAGGAAACTTTGACGACTTAGCAACTCTTTCATAATAGAATATTTAAAAACATTTTAACTTTTAATTAATAGAGCATTTTAGCGTTCTAGAAAGACTAGAATGACGTAATTAGTTGTAGCAATAAATAAGAAATAACTGAATCCATAATCAATCAAAGTTTCTAAGTACGTACAGTTCCTAAACAAGTCCTATGCTTAAAACTATCGAGCCATCGACATTTAATTGATGTGGATTTATTTTTCTTCTCCTGTTATGTGCATAAAGTGTTAAAAAGTGTTAATGCATCAGGTGTTAAGAGTTATTACATCTTAAATTATGTTGGTCTAATGTACTCTTCTTGTATTTTGTGGAGCCTTGGATGCTTGAATAAGAAATGCATCATTTAATTGGGACTTGGAGTATCAAAATGAATGTATAGCTTTCAATCGGATGTAAGTTAATTGAACCCTACTTAGTTAGCTGTTGAGCTTTTATAGTTTGGTTGATGATGCAACTTCCCGTGTTGTTGTCTTTTGATAATCTCAATTGACTGAATTTTATTTATCACTGTATCTTTAACTATATCTTTGATAATCTAATTGACTATTCTTGTATTTATGGAGCCTTGGGTGCTTGAATAAATGCTTCATTTCCTTGGGATTTGTAGTATAAAAAAGAATGTATCAATATTAGTGTGATGCGAACTAATTGAGCCTGAGCCTGACTGACTTAGCTGCTGAGCATTTTGTGTTTGTTTCTTTGTTGATGATGCAATCTTTGCTTTTCCATTTATTGGAGGAGGTTGGCTCATGATAAACCCAGTTGACTAGATTGCATTTTTGCTTAGGTGTGATGTAAATCTATTACTGTCTACTCTGTGCACACGTTCAATTCAAACTCGTGAAGGGATTATTGTTAAAGCTTTGGATTGTAATGCTGCTGTTGCAAGTCGGGATGCTTTGGCAAAGACTATTTATGCTAGGCTGTTTGATTGGTATGCTTGTTATTAATGTGTTGTCAGTAGCTTTTTGTTTTTCTTGATTCGAAAATTCGCTGTGGTTGCTTGATGAGTATGCTTGTGTGGCTTCTACATTTGTTTCTTTTAGGCTTGTTGAGAAGATTAATAGGTCTGTTGGGCAAGACAAGGATTCTCAGATGCAAATTGGTGTCCTTGACATATATGGATTTGAATGCTTTAAAAACAACAGGTGAATTTTTTTTCTCATAAATGTTTTTGAAATTACTTCTACTCACTTTTTTTCATTTTTCATGCAGTTCAGCAATTAATTTTTGAATGTTGTCTGTTTTTTGTTATTGTGTTTGGGAGGAAACATTCAACTCCTTTAGTGAAGAGAAAAGAGGAACAAAGAGAGATGAAGTTCATTAGGATTTAGGAAATATGAAGGTCATTGGGAAATAAGATTTGATGACAGAAGAAATATGAGGGGAAAATAAAAATAACTCGAAATAAACCCACCCATGTCCTGGGAAAAAACTCTAATGGGTTAAAAGTGTTCTATAATTGGTTGCAACACAATTTTGCCCTTAAAAAGTCTCCACAGCTGCAATTGTGAATAATCCAATCTGGCAGCTCAATTACTGGCTCAGAAGAATTCCCTACAATCAAGATTTTTTGAAAAACCCAAATCGAGAAGAGAATCACTGTTTTATTGGAAACTAATTTAACGTTAATATTTGTTAAATCTTTAGATTCTTTTGGTGTCTTGCATATGCTTAGCATTTATCTATACTCTCTTACCAATGCAGTATGAACTAAATATATACGTTTTTCATGAACATGTACATTTACTTAAGTTTGTTTTGAAATAAATTTTATTCACATTTTTGTTGCGACAACCTTTGATTGTCAATTATTTAGCTCTCATCACTTTTTATTTACTTATTGTTAATAATTTATTTCAAATTTATTAAGGTGGTTCCATTACTTTATTATCCAAGTTTTCTCCATGGAAACCATTGAGAATTTTCTTGACTCTAGTATTTGATTCAGTTGTTGGCCATATATCTTGTCCTAATTGATTGGTTGCCATATTTATTCTACAGTTTTGAACAATTTTGCATTAACTTTGCAAATGAAAAGCTTCAACAACATTTCAATGAGGTGGGCAATGATGTTTCATGAAGGTTTATAGATTGATATGTTAACTTAGGGTCTGTTTGGTATCATTTTCATTTGTGATGTTTTTGTTTTCTGGTTTAAAAAAATAATGAGAAGTTCAAATATACTCATTACTTTCATTCTTTTGTACGAAAACATCTTTTGACATTCAAGAAAAATTTTAAAACTATTTCTTAAATAATGGGTTGCTTTCGAAAAACTTTCTTGAAAAAGTTTTTGAAATAGTTTTCCAAACAGGTTTTCTGTATCAGTTTATCACCCCCCCCCTCTCTTCTGTTTCTGAGAGTATAATGTACTTTTTGAAAAATGATACCAAACATTCCCTTAATTTTTTGACGTTTGTTGCTGTGACATTTTATGTTTTGTGCTTTTTTCAGCATGTATTTAAGATGGAGCAGGAGGAGTATCAGAAAGAAGAAATTAATTGGAGCTATATTGAATTTATAGACAATCAAGATGTTCTCGATCTGATTGAGAAGGTTTTCCCTCATTTCATTTGTCAAATTCTTCTATTTTTCGGACCTTTTAATGTATGAAATTTATAAATGTGTCACTGCTATAAAATATAAGAGGACATTCAAATTTAATGATTTGCATTTGCATTCAGCTTACTCTTATTATGGTGTTTCATTGTTAGAGAAGCTTGCTAGTATTGAGGGATTTTGTCTTTATGTTTGTGGTAATTTCGGCATGGCTTGTTTAACATGCCAATATCATGTATGAAACTTCATTGCAACTCTTGCAATTTCGAAGTTGTGATGACTGCTTGCAATTTTTCTGGGCATGTTATTATGTCTCTCTCAAATGGTAGGTGTTGCAACAAAGAAAATGAGGAAGAAAACAACAACTAGACAACTGAGAATTAAGAAAAAATATTAAATTAATACACCAAACCTATAACAGTAGGAATTTTGAAGGCTAAACCTTAGAGATTAATTGTCCTTCAGTATTCTTTGACAAGCAACTGTCCAAAACTGAATCTAAACCATAACTCATCACCCTAATATTTTCCATTCAAAACCATTATTAAACTTGGTGAAAATTCCTTTCCCAGGGCAACATATCATTAAGGCAGTCACCTATGTATTTCCATTAGAAGTGTCATTGTTTTTGGTGAGCTAAAATGCAGTAGGGTGTTAATTAAGCCTAATACGTGTTTATTAATATACAAATACAATATTATATATCGCATAATACATAGCAAATTGTATCGTTTGCACGGGTTTAGCAAATTATGAGCAAGTTGAGCTGCATTAGACAATTAAGGTGTAGCAATGACACGGGTCTCCATTCTTTCTTGAACACGGTTTCATCCACTTCAATAGATGTTGTCCTCTCGGTGAATACTAGATTAGAAGTGTTAGAATTTACCATCACCTACCACCACTACCACCTCACCTACTCCACTAAACCTAACCCACTACACCACTACCACCTCACCTACTCCACTAAACCTAACCCACTACACCACTACCACCATCCACTACACCTACATCTATATAAGGAACCAATTGTAATATATCAATTAATAAATAATAATACATCAATTTATTTTTTACAGTTACAGACTCTCTCTCTCAGCACAACGAAGTTTTTTTTCAGAGGTTTTTCGCAGCTTTTCTCTGCCTCAGCCTCAGCATCAGCCTTGGTTAAATAGCCAAGGCAGCCACGCGCATCGCGCGCCTCTTGCCACCAGCCGACAAACGGGCACGCAAGCCAAGGCGCCCACGTGCCTCGCCATCATGTCCGGCACACCTTTTGATGAATTGGGCACGCCTTTTGATGGCACGCCTTTTGAAAAATTGAGCGCACCTTTTGAGGATGCGATTTTTTAAGGGTCCGACAAGACTCTGTAAACTGTCCCGACATTGATTCCGGTTAGTTTCTACAAGGGTCCGACAAGACCCTGGAAACTGTCACAACATTGTCTTCTACAACGGTCCGACATGACCCCATAAACTGTCTTCTACAACGGTCCGACATGACCCCATAAACTGTCTTCTACAACGGTCCGACATGACCCCATAAACTGTCTTCTACAACGGTCCGACATGACCCCATAAACTGTCTTCTACAACGGTCCGACATGACCCCATAAACTGTCTTCTACAACGGTCCGACATGACCCCATAAACTGTCTTCTACAACGGTCCGACATGACCCCATAAACTGTCTTCTACAACGGTCCGACATGACCCCATAAACTGTCTTCTACAACGGTCCGACATGACCCCATAAACTGTCTTCTACAACGGTCCGACATGACCCCATAAACTGTCTTCTACAACGGTCCGACATGACCCCATAAACTGTCTTCTACAACGGTCCGACATGACCCCATAAACTGTCTTCTACAACGGTCCGACATGACCCCATAAACTGTCTTCTACAACGGTCCGACATGACCCCATAAACTGTCTTCTACAACGGTCCGACATGACCCCATAAACTGTCTTCTACAACGGTCCGACATGACCCCATAAACTGTCTTCTACAACGGTCCGACATGACCCCATAAACTGTCTTCTACAACGGTCCGACATGACCCCATAAACTGTCTTCTACAACGGTCCGACATGACCCCATAAACTGTCTTCTACAACGGTCCGACATGACCCCATAAACTGTCTTCTACAACGGTCCGACATGACCCCATAAACTGTCTTCTACAACGGTCCGACATGACCCCATAAACTGTCTTCTACAACGGTCCGACATGACCCCATAAACTGTCTTCTACAACGGTCCGACATGACCCCATAAACTGTCTTCTACAACGGTCCGACATGACCCCATAAACTGTCTTCTACAACGGTCCGACATGACCCCATAAACTGTCTTCTACAACGGTCCGACATGACCCCATAAACTGTCTTCTACAACGGTCCGACATGACCCCATAAACTGTCTTCTACAACGGTCCGACATGACCCCATAAACTGTCTTCTACAACGGTCCGACATGACCCCATAAACTGTCTTCTACAACGGTCCGACATGACCCCATAAACTGTCTTCTACAACGGTCCGACATGACCCCATAAACTGTCTTCTACAACGGTCCGACATGACCCCATAAACTGTCTTCTACAACGGTCCGACATGACCCCATAAACTGTCTTCTACAACGGTCCGACATGACCCCATAAACTGTCTTCTACAACGGTGAAGCAAGCCGGAGGAACCAACGACCAGAGATCTAGGCACATCGGAGCTCGATTTCGCCGACCAACGCCGATGCCGACTCCAAACAACTGCTGTTGGCCTAGGCCAATCAACCTGTGTTGGTATTGGTGGGGATCCTTTTAATGGGACAAACTTTGTTGATTGCATGCAGAAGTTTCTTGTTGATCCTCAGACAGAAGGTATCGTTCTTATTGGTGAAATAGGTGGTACAGCTGAAGAGGATGCGGCTGCACTTGTAAAGGAAAGTGGGACTCAAAAGCCTATTGTTGCTTTTATTGCTGGACTCACTGCTCCACCAGGCCGGCGTATGGGTCACGCTGGAGGTACTACATTGTCATCTCTTTAAATTTGTACTCCTGTAGTAATCATATTTTTGTTGACAATCCAAAAAGAAAAATTGTTGTGTTATACCTGCACAAGAGTTGGTATTTTGTGTTTAATCACATTATAAAGGTCAGTGGTAGATTTTTACTCCTGTAGCTATTATATTTTTTGTTTGTTTGGTTTGATTTCAAAAATGTTTTTCTGACTTCTTATTTTTGGATTTTGTTTTTGTTTTTGTTTTTTTGTCTTTAGTTAAAAAAATATTTTAGTAATTTTTTTTACTTTTTAGATGCACCTAATCTAGATGCATCTAAAATTTTTTAATTTTTTTTAAAAAAAAAATTGGCTAAAATATAAAAGTTCTCTAAAGACAAAAGATAAACATATAACATAATAATAAAAAAGGCCAGCACATTTCCTCCTTTTAAGGAATTTTTTTCCAGATTTCTCCACATGTTTTATTTTTTAGGTGCATCTCTATTAGGTGCTTCAAAAAACTGGGGAAAAAAAAAATTGACTAAAAAAAGGGAAGTAAAAAAACATTTTTTGAAAACCAAACGAAATGGTGTTGTGTTATGCCTGCATGAGAGTTTTGTGTTGTGTATTACAATTTACACCATCTTCTATATCATAAAGAGTGTCACATTAATAGTCAGTGGTAGATTTTGTAGTCCGGTACAGAAATACAAAATTTGTTGTGTTATACCCTGCATGTGAGAAAATTTTGTATTGTGTTTAGTGCACCATCAATGTCATACAGAGAGGATCACTTTATAAAGGTTAGTGGTAGATTTCTAATCTTCATTAACTCTGTTATTCGTGTTTGAAATGCAGCTATTGTATCGGGGGCTGTCTGACACGACCATACAGTGTCTTTTTTTTTATTTTTATGTATTTTCTTGTTTTGTTACTCTCTCCAAACTCAAGTTGGTTAGTTTCTATCCTCCTTGAGTTTGCGGGGGGCTGTTAGAATTTACCCTCACCTACTCCACTAAACCTAACCCACTACACCACTACCACCATCCACTACACCTACATCTATATAAGGAACCAATTGTAATATATCAATTAATAAATAATAATACATCAATTTATTTTTTACAAGAAGCAATGTGAATTGTACCTTGATTATCACAATACATAGTTATAGGCAACTATACATTAATCTCTGTTCCTTCAAGAAATTGTTTCACCTATATAAAGATCAAATGAAGCATGAGCCAGAGCTCTATACTCAGCTTCAACGCTGGACCTAGCAGTGACAATGGGCTTCTTAATCTTCCAAGTGATTAGGCTCCATTGGTGGATGTCTTGCCCAATCTGAATCAGTAAACGCTCTCATGATCTGGATCAGTTCTAACTAACCAATGATAATCGTCAGTTTAGACAGCAACTCCCCTTGATCAACATAAAGTTTGATATTAGAATCCATGTGTCTCCATAGATTGACCTTAACAAACTTGTTTCTCTAGAATATTTAGCACAAGGTAGGACCAATGACAAGGTGATTTTCCAAAAAGAAGAGGTATCAGATCCCAGGTGCCTTTATAATGGAGTGCCTAATGATCCTAATTCTCCTCCATGGCTTGCCTCCAACCAGGATAGTGAAAACCTCATGAACAAACTTAGGAAGGTGGACAAAAAAACAAACTTAGGAAACCAAACCAAGCCAAGCCTTAATTCCCATCAAATGGGGTCGGTTACATGAATTTTTCTTCTCCACGTGGCCCTATCAAAGGCCATTTCGTTAGTCAAATTAAGAGGGGGGGGAGCACTTAGGAATGTCGACCAAAAAAAAAAACAAAATTGACGAGAACAAAGAGATGGAGACAAACGAATGAATGATCATTGGATACAAACTATGTAATATGATGAGCAGTACAAGTGCTTTACTTTTGTGTGGTGCAATTGGAAGAGAATTAGGACCATTAGAAGTTGCAAATATGGACCCAAAAAAAAGATTAGGATTC